CTCCAAGAAGGAGGGCTTAAAGGCCTTGAAAGTAGAATTTCGGCTTTTGTTCCGGCGAAACAGAAACCTATCATTGGCTCTGATCAGGAGAGGGGAGCTGTCAAGCAGCTGCTTTTCAAGACCGTTCCTGGCTCTCACATGGATCGCCTATAGTATGTGCGAGGAAGCTATCCTAGCAGAGTGTTTTGTATCGAGAATACAGTTGCGGGCAGCTCTTTCTCAAATTGAGCACCAGCGTGCAGCGCCACGTTTCCTACACATCCAGTCCATGAATGCCTGTGAACAGGTTCTACGTGTGGAAATTGGGCGGAAAGACTTGAGCTTCACAAGGTGGAGAACCTGACCAACTGGCCGGAGATCAGCTGTAAACATGACGAATCATTCACTCCGCTACACTTCTCAAAATCAGGCCTTGCAACAAAGACCTAATCAGCTATCGCACGACAGCTGAAACTTCCACATGCAAGAAGCTAGCTTAGATGATGCTAGCAGTGCAAGCAGAGGTATTTGGGCAAAGAACCGCGTTTCCAGTAAATGTTGCTGGAGATCTTGCAGTATCCTGCTACGAAGGCCTTCCAGGTCTCAAATGCAATTGTCGGGCTCGCAAAGGCTGGCAACGGCGCTTGGCACTCTTCGAAAGCACAAGCCACTGGCAGTGGACATGACTTGTGCTTAACATGTCTCTTTAGGGTTTGAGGTTATGAAGGTGGAAATGCCTGGTGCAGGCACTGCTGAGGGCGTGCCCTCAGTCTTATTATGCTGAGTTGACAGTTACAAGTTACAAGTGTTGCCTCTTATTTACCGGCCATTTGCGTACAAACAGTCTCACCCTTCCTGGTTTCGCTCAGAAACCATTCTGGGCGATTTACAAACACAATTGCATTTGGATGTTTCACAGTTCTTGGTTTCTGGTAACATCTGATTCACCAAGCATTGACACTTCTCCACAACTGCGCAGCAACGAGGCAACAATGTTGTCTGATTCACGGAGATGCCAAAGCAATGCTTTCCCGAAAGCACCGGCTGCTTGAGCCTTTGCTGGTTAGTTTTCAAGGCTTACTGTCCTTGCATGATACGCTGTACCAAATGCGTCAGCATGCCGAACGGTTCTGGAGTCTTAGAACTCCCCATGTCAGCCTCGGAATCACACATCAGAGGGTTCAAGCAAGTGTCACGCATGTGTGTTTGAAGCGTTTATCTTTTTGTTCCCTAACTCTACGTTTGCAAACCTCAAACGCACGGTTGCTCGATACAAGGGTTTTGTGGCTCCAAAAAACATCCAGAGTTACGGCCTCGGTGTTTGAAGAGTTCGGAAGACGCGGGGCGAACGGGTCAATCCACGAAGCCAATGAGTGCAACAGGAGTGCAACACGAACGCGGTGGACACCGGTATGCCACGTTTGTCAGTGTTATGAGTCATGAGACACGTCTTGTCAGATACCAGAGGGGGGTCGACACAGCTCTCTTCTTCGCACCGAGTAGAAACCACTGAACCCCCACCGACCAATCGCAGCATAGATAGTACTGAAACTGAAAAACTCACCAAGCAGTTCGCTGGCGCAAAATGGCGCAAATGTAGTGCGGTCTGGATTCGGGTCGGTGCTTGCCCATCCACCATTTCAGCTGTTTCTAGGGTCGGTTATAGGCCATTTCAACCTGTTCAAGCGTTGTCTGATGTTTTCTGGGTCTGTTTGTGCCGTTGAAGCTGTTTCAGCTGAATCATGAGGTAGAAATCGCGGTTTCGTTTCAGTGTCCTTCCGATTGATTCCGATTGATGGTCGGTGGCAGACAACTTGCACCACACAAAGCTTCAACCATTGTCAACCGCATGTCATTGACATCTGCCTCCATCCACCAAGCACAGCAGACTTATATAGATAGTTCAACCGCGGAAACATATGCGAACATGGTGCACATGGTGGTTGTAGCAGCACATGGTAAACACGACTTCAACATACTTCAACCCACTTCAAGGTACATTCCTCTGCTGTGACGATGCAATATGACGCATGTCACGAACGCACGTTCGTCGGGTTGGACCGCTCTGCAGCTGAGGTGCGTGTAAACAGCGTGCCGCTCATGAAACGCTCTGAAACGGCTTTCAGCAATAAATTGGAACGCCCCTTCATGCGTATAAAATCGTATAAACAGCATCTCACCTTGCATATGAGTTATGTAAGCACAATAACTGCCTTGAACTGAAGGACTGAAGACTCAAGTTCAGATCGACTGAAATTCTTGAGCTAAACTCACTTTTTAGGAGCCAGAGCAAGATGTCGGCAAGAATCGTGTTGTACAGTAGTTCTTCCGAGGCACCTGTTTTGCTCAAAGAATGAAGCTGTTGTGAGCAGTGGAAGTAGTGAAATACCATAACTACAGCCTGCATAATGTACTAGCGCCCAAAACGGCGTTCGATTTGCTGAAATTACATGTTTGGTTGATTCTTCCTTGCAACCTCCTGCTTTGCTGCTTTCTTGATATGAACTGTATATACTTACTTGCTTTTTGCAGCTTCATCAAGCTGTGTTCTTCACCGACATGTTCTTGCAACCATGCTGTTCGAGAAAGTCTTTGATTTAGGAAAAAACTGGAAACAACACATGGCTAACCTCCTGCCCGACCAGTATAAATCAGAATGAGTAGATTGGCGGAGGTTCTATGGATGTTGGCCATCAAAGTGCAAGTCCCAATGCTCTCTTTTCAGCACCAAGCAAACGATGAACGGCGGAATCTCCAGATCGCGTTGCAAAGTCATAAAAGCACCGCCGGTCTCCTCCCCATTCAGCGTGTCCTTTCAAACTCAGACATTCAAGCGGAGAAAAGATGTGTGATCTGAAAAGGAAGGCCGTCCTGCGGTCGCAAATCCCATGTTTCCCAGCCCATAAAGCGTGGTATGAAGGGGATCATATTCTGCAAGACCTATCCATGCCAGTGAAAGAGAAGGAAATGTATTTGCACAAAGGCACACCCTAAAACCATAAATGCGCAAGTGTACCCAAGTGTATAGAATATGTACCCAAGTAGTTACTGTAAAAGTCAAGGAACCACATCATTAGCGTGAGCGTTTCTTGAAGGAAGCTTACCCCGCCGCCTTTGGGGTAGTAGCTGAAGTAAGCTACTAGCTACCGTTTGCTACTAGCTACCTACCTCTAACGGCCTACCTCCCGGGCTTAAACATATGGAATTTTAATTCCAATTAAATTCTTATTGTTACTACTAGTAAGGCACTTGTTCCTAGTAGCGTGGCACTTGTTACTACTAGCTATATATATCTGCTTATGAAGACATGCAATTTCACATCGTTTCTTCGCCTTGTAGACTTCTTGCTGCATCCGCTCGTCAGGGCGCCTGACGAACGCCTCAATCCGCAAGGGTCCCAGCTGAAAGCGCTGGGCGATCGGATCATCACGTCGTGGACCTCGAGAACGAGAAGAAAACGAAGCAAAAAGGAAAAAACATAGTATCCTTTTTGTCCCTAGTAGCGTCCCTGCTCCTAGTAGCGATGCCAGGAGCCCCTAGTAGCTTCTTGTTCCTAGTGGTACGGCCAGGAGCCCCTAGTAGCGTCCTTGCTCCTCGTTTTTTGTGTGTCTTTCTTTTTTCAACAACCACAAAAAAGCAAGTGAACTCAGAAATGACAGCACTTGACTTTGATCCGTAGCCTCTAGGCACCCGCGCGAAGCAAATAGTTGACCATGGGAACCAGCCTCACGAGTTTCGAGCTTCAACAAAAAAGCTAAGGAGAACAATCCCACCTTTTACAAATGAAAGACTTTGAAGGTCGAGACGGCATTGCTTTGCGAAGCCTGTGTTTGTTCTTCGTCTTGGTGCCTTTTAGGCGCACGAGGCGAACAAAAACACATCTCTGCCTTGCCAATGTCAGCAAGGTCTCTCGAGGCAGAGCTTCAGAAAGCTGAGATGAGGAGCCTTCCAAGTCAAGTCAGAGGAGATGGCAAACAAAACAAATCAAAATGTTCAGTGATTGCACATCATTTTAGTGATGTGTCTCCCATACAAACGATTCAAAAGCTGGTATGCACAGCACTAGCCTGCTGAGAAGAAGAGCTGCATCACAGCCAGTGTTTGCACGCAAACCTTGCATGACTCAACCAATATACTGTATTACTCAATCGAGACTTGCTTTAGAGCGACCTGCTTCTGTTCTATGCTGCGCTGCTTGGCGATTAAAACAAAACTGTCAAAGACCCTACACGCTGTGCTGAACCCGCCCATCCAACTGCAAGGATGGCGTGCAGATTGAAAGTATTGAAAGCATTTTCTGGTCAGTTGGTCTCATCTCATCAAGCCCAAAAAAAGTATAAGTCTCAAGCGAAATATCGATAGCTGAGTTCTTCATAAACTGTCTCCTTTCCAATGACTCACTTTATCCCATAGTCTGCCGGCGCCTGGAGCATTTCAGATCGTCTCATAGTCTCCAGTTCTCGCTCAGCGATCTCAGCCTGGACACCTTCTGTCGAAGCCGCAGCATCCTCGAGCAGCGAAAAGGTCGAAGCCGCTTCCATCACCGAAGACTTCGACTGTGACACTAAGAAGACTGCTGGCCTCCCACCATTCCGACTGCGCCGGAAGTAAAGCTGGAGGTGCCAGGATATTCTCCTGAGCAAGTTCAGGGCTTTTGGCTTGGGTAGCCTATGGTAGCCTGGTCCTCCATTCATTCTTGATTCTTTCCGATTCCTTTCGCCGTTCGCACAATCCTCTCAGATCTCCTCTGAAAGAATTTGCCTTGACGGTGGCAAAGGTCCTCCGACGCTCTCCAGGGGCGGCCTTGCACAGAATATGGTAAAAGGAAGGGCAAAGGCAGCAGCATCAAAACCCTTGACCACCATGTGAATGGAGCCAACCCAAAGAGTCTTCAGAGCTGCAAACAAACGACACATCACCCAAAAATTAAATAAACTTTGCATCACATCAGAAAACAAGCAGGAAACATCAACAAACGACACATCACACCAAAATAAGTTGTGTGTTGTTTGTGTTTTGAGTGAGCCAATTTGTTGTTGTTTTGTCTGTGTTTTGATTGAATTTATAAGTCGCCCAGCAACTTTGCTTTGATTTGCGGAAGTTCTTAGTGGCCAATGAGCATCTGAGCGTCTTTGAGCGTCTGAGCATCCACGCGGCAAGCCCTCAATGAGTGCATTCGGCATTGCTGCACCAGGCAATTCTGACAGGGCCTCGCAGCGTATTTCAAGATAGTTCAAGAGCAACCCCAGGCGAAGGCATGCTGATGTTCAAGCCCGAAGGCATGCTGTTCAAGCCCGATGCCATGGTTACATCAGGGACAAATATCGCCAGCTCTCCCTCTATGTGCCCCAAAGGCACCTGAGATAGCTCGCGCAGCCGCCCGAGTAGCAGGGGAAAGACCTGGCACAACGGACTTCATCCTTAACAGTACAACATAGACTCCAAATAGCCAGAGGACTCCACCAAACATACGTACTTACTAGTCACTGCCTTTTCAAAAACAAGAACACTGACAGCAGCCTTGGGCAAACAGAATGCCTGTTGACAAACAATGAGTTCAGCTTCCGCACTACAAATGCGACAAATAGGCAGACAGCCAAGTCTTTCTGCTCACGGGAGTGTGGAGCCTTAAGCTCCAAGCTGTAAAATCTCAATCCGCAAGCCACTCGAGGCTAAGTGCCCAGTGGCGTCAATCGGTCTTCGTCAAAAGCTCCAATTTGACAAGCCAAGTTTGATAAATCTTGGACTCATGATGGCCAATGTCTGTAGCACAGGCGTGAAAAAAAAAAATAAGAAGTTGAAACAAAAGTCATAAATATGAGTCGAAATAGACCAACACCCATTGGTTGGGGGTGTCTCCCTCTTGGAATACACACCCATCAGTTATTCTGTCATGCTTTCCGCCGAAGACTTGCCATCGCCAGCTTGACGCCTCTGGCGCAGAAGCCAGCATCTGGTCCCACGAGGGCGGGTGATGCAACTGGTCCCGGTTTAACAATGCTTTTTGTAAGAACGAGTGCATGTGATACACATGTATGACATGGTAGTTAGTGGCGTTCAAGCAAACTTTCTCTTGACACTTCCACAAAGAAGTTCCGTCCAAGACCCAAGGTTGTAGCATTGTCTATCATCTTGAGAACCTCTTGAACATCTTTCTTAACCCTTCTTTATTGAGCCCTCTTATGGCTTCGCCTCCGAGTTTGCCAGCAGTCCCCGCCAACCGTGACACAGAGCCCGTAGGAAAAAGTTGTTTGCTGCCCTGCCTGGGCAGAAGCCTACTGAATTGAATGAGCTGGAGAAGGCTGCCAACCCCCTTGAAGAAGACAGCTCACTTGTGCCAGCCCATGTCACTCTGTATGTCAGCAAGCAATGGCTGTACACAAAATTTAACATCGAATATCATCGAATCATTATCCTCTCAGAAAGCGCTGCTTGGCCAATCGGCGTGGTGGCTCATAGCCTTGGCACATGACGAAAAGCACCTCCTGCTGCTCCCACAGAACCATAAACATAAAACACATGTTGGTATATTTTGGCCACATACTACCTTCAATCACCTTTAAGGAAAAAAGCAGAAGGGCTTGCAACCATGATGAGGTGCAACCATGAAGTGCAACCAACCAAGAAACGGCAGCACTTCAGCAAGTCAACAAGGGACATGGGGTGCTTTGACCGTCAACCGAAGCTGTGTTCGAACAACACATGTTGTGTGCATCCGCAAACCTTTTGCCCGCAACCCTTAGCCCGTCTCAACAAGCAGAGTTTGGTGCGGTTTCTGTGCACCAACTCCAAGACAAAACTCATATGACTTTTGGGCAGTTTGACATCAACAAATTGGGGGCTGCAGTGGGCGAGTAAACCTTCCTTCCTCCTTTCCTGCGAAAATTGCTCAATCCTTCGACGGAGGGACGGGAGGTTCTCCGAAGGGTTTAATTGGTTGTGCTCAGCTTGGATAGTGTATGTTTGCAGGGCCCTTGGTGAGAAGGTTGCACACCAATGCTTAAGTTGTTATCTTAGGCATCGACTTGGCTTCGTGCATGTTCAAGCTTATCAATGGATCTCAATGATGAGTTGTATGTGTGGCATGGATGCAAACTGCTTATAGGTATATTAAAACTGCGTGGGCATATGCGAAAGAAGCATGTCCATGTGCTCAAAATCATATGTTTCAGTTTCGCCATGGAAAAATGAGTTGATGCATTGCACGCGTGGCTTGTGTCTTTTTCAGATACACGGCTGTTTGAACATTGGGACGGTGCACTGAGGCCTTTCATTTTGAGCGAAAGAGGACCAGTGCATCCAGAGCGCTTTCTATTCTAGACAAGGCATTTTGTTGAGTCCTGTTGAGTCTATGAACTGCCAACAGGTTGCGATATTCAATTGGATCAGAAGCGTTTTTTTCCTTCAAAATGGCAATGTTATGAAAAGGATGACAACTTTATGAAACCAGTGATCGATAATGATCGTGTTGTGAAACCGATTGTCATGTTGCGATACCGATGATAATGCTATGAAGCTGATACCTTCCCGGAGAACCCCTCGTCCCTTGGGTCCTTCGAACCTCATTTACTCGACACCTCTGGCCAACGGGTTGGATCGGGGTGAGTTGCGAAGGCGCTGGATGGCTGATGCAAACCTGGCGCACGCAGGGCGCTATGTTCTGAGTATCGTGAACTGGAAGTCAACTCCAGTTCCTTGCAAATCCACAGCACTTTCTGTCCGCTTTCGCTCAAGACGCTTTACTTGTTCATTGGATTCATTGGCAAGTTTTATGCATATTACCAGGAGTCTACGGCGTCGATGCCCCTGAGTCCCGTGTTTGCACCAAGCAGCTCTGACAAACGAAGCCCTGCAATTGGATGCTGGCATGAATTCCCTCCGGTCGGTGCCAAACTTCACAACGTCCCAAACTATACTCGATTCCGACACAAGGAGCTGCCGAACGGGAGACGCAGTGTTCTTGGCACTCCTCTAAACTTTGCAATCTCAAAACATCATAGTAGCTCTGAAGGTTATCTCCCGGGTGCTCACCACGGCAGGCGCGGTTTGTGGCACCATCTACCGGATGGAAATACGAGAATGTCGGATCTGCTCTCTTGCGCTTGTAGCATTGAAAACCGGAAAGGCTGATGCTTGCTTGGATGCCTTCCGAGCGAGTCCAAATCTCGCAGCGGCCCAGACTGTATTCGATCCCAACACAGTCGGGACTGGCTCCGAGACATGAAAGCTTGCACTCGCCGAGACTGGCTGTCTCAATCACCTGAAAATAGCTAGCATGGTTGTCTCCCGCGCTTGCCCCACGGCATGCTCTGTCTATGCCACCATCAACGGGTAAGAAAAGCTCCAGCGTAGTTGTCGTTGTTCTGGTGATAGTGCTGGTTGCGGTCTTTGTGCCTGTTTGTGAGACAGTCAGGCTTGTTCCACTTGCGTCGCAGGGTAAGCATGAACCAAAGCAGGCCTCCAGAACTACAGGTGTATCCTTCACGGAAAAGATACGATTGGAAAACTCTCCCAAGCCGCAAGTGGTTGGAATTTGCTCCTCGCCACCCCAAGAATCACCGTTGACAAACTTGTACTCATAGGAGCCGGGGCTTAGGTAAACTGTTGCTTCATAGATGAGATCCTGGTTCAAACCTAAAGGTGTTGCTGCTGGATCCCAGAGCTGAAAACTGCCAGCCACGTGCACCCCCATAGCTGAAACAACTTCATTGCTCATGTCAAGTTTGAAGGTCACAGGCACAACAGCTGGCAGCGTGGTTGAAGTTGTCAACTCGGGACTTGCCTTGATCATGCAGGGTATGCTGTTCATACAGTGCCATTCAACACCGTAGGTGATCCGAGGACAGTATATGGGATCCACATGTTCTGCGCTGCAAAGCTGTCCATGGAACTCAACATGCCAGTTTCTTGAAGCCAAGTCTTCATGACACCATCCTCCAAATATAAGCATCCAAAGCCACAAATGAAGTGTCTGAGAACCATGACCTGCAATGGTCTCGCGCGGCATCGCTTCACCCAGCTGAAAGAAGTCCAAGGCACGAAACATCGGAGTCGCTCGGCTCGTCATGGAGCGCATCACCTCTGCATTGAAGCGACCTAAGCGATGGGGTTTAGAGCGGCCTCCACCTTAGTAGCGATGGCATCCAACCTAATAGCGACAGCGATGGCCTCCGGACTCCAACCTATATAAGAGCAATGGCCTCTTACTTACTTGCGATGGCCTGCACCCTAGTTGCATTGAAGCGACGAAAGGCTTCAATCAAAGACCCCTGTGCTTCGGTGTAGCTGTTGGTGCCCACGACGCAACCAAAGCCCTGTGCAGCACGGCCTGTGGAGCAAGATCTCTCCATGTGGTTCAGGGCCATATCCATTTCATCTGCGAACTTTGCAAAGACCTCATCCTCAGTCTCCGACTTCAATTCCGTCCTTGGGCAAAGATACGATTTGATATTCTGACACACCAAATACCAGGCCACTACCTGCGTCACATAGCCAACCTTCACGTCCTCAAAAGCAAGCATAATTCAAACAAAACTAGGCCCTATAGGCTTTGCAAGGTTTCGTTGCAAAGTTATACAAAGTTCCAAGGAATGTCCTCTTATCTAAGAATCTGAAAAATTGCGTTTGTGAGCCTTCCAAAACTGCAACGTAAGAAGCATGCACAGTATCTTCCGACCTCTGTGTTCATGAACTGCTAGCAACAAGAAGGTACTAGGTGGTCAAGCTTGCTTCCACTAAACACACAAGTCTGCCATTCTCAAAGTCTTCGTGTCCTTCCAGGCTTCATCTGCTTCCACAATGTCCATCATGGATCGCACGCGTTCCCAAAAGAACGAAATCGTCATGGTCACCCGGATGCGTTCAGATGACGGAGCTGGGGCTTTGGAGAGCTCCCCAGCAAAAATCTCCTGTGGGCGCTCAGAAAACGAAACCCCAAAAACAAGGCGTCCTTGTTACTACTAGTAAGGCACTTGTTACTAGAAGCGATGCACTTGTTCCTAGGTCCTAGTAGCTTCTTGTTCGTAGTAGTATTCAAGAGTCAAGAAGTTTATGTTTTTACTTTTTCATACACTGTAAATAGAGTATTTGTTGGGCGATGTCGCTCGTTCTCGGCTTCTCCTGGCATTCTTGCTCCTGGGTGGTTGGTCCAGTTGTATTCTGCTTACAAGGAGGGATGTCATCAATGCGAATCATATTGTGATAGCTGATAGTGCCATTTTCAATCACAAAGTCATGAAAGTTGTACTCGCCAAAGTGAATATGAGAAAGAGCAGCTTCATCCGCAAGCATAAAGAGGAGAGTGTTGGCGAGCAGCTGCGCGTTGGAGGTGCCAAGCACTACAACCCACGCCCCTCCGGGACCTCCCGAGGGACCTCTCAAGCATGTTTTCACACTGTCCGCTTCAAAAACGGGATATCTGCAGTTGCCATCAGTCGCATGAATTTCCAGATTGCCACTGGAATGTAGTTTTCCCTTGGTGGCAGGAATGGCAGCTCTAGCATCACACCATTCCAGGCCCTCTGTTGGAGGCAGCTCAATCCATGGCACAATGCCAACAGCAACTGCCATACCTTCCCCAGACTCTGTGATTGCCTCAGCAAAAGCTGATCCATTCTTCACGCCAATCAAAGCGTAGGATCCTCGCCACGTCAAGTGAGAAATCCGCCGACCTCCAAAGGACTCAATCAGGTCTTGTGCCCTTGGACTTAGACCCTGTGAAGCCTCGTCTGATGCTCCAAGTAGAATTGTGGTGTTGCTGGGCACACTCTCCAGGAACGCTTCCAATTCAACGGAGTTCATGTTCGTGTCAAAGGTCTGAGGTTCTTGGGGCTCTCCTTCAATGGATAAGCGAATGACAGTAAGACCCCTGCGGCTTGTTGCAAAGATCACTTTACCATTCAACCAGAATGACACATTGTTGCCATCAGACCATCCAGCGCTACGCACCACAACATCTTTGTTGAAGGGTGAACTGTATTCACAACACTCCCCCGACAGAGTGGCAATTGTGTCCAACTCGCTCTGGCGATGAACCATGGATGGTGGGCAAGTGAAGAGCTTGCACGGTGGAAGGACTTCGCAAGGGACACATGCGCTAAAGCAAACATCAACGTCTGCTGACTCGTTGCTTTTCACTGAGAGAAAGCGATTGAAGTGCCCGGATTTCTGCTCACTACAGGCCCAAGGAACTTCCTCAGCATCAGTCCAAGAGTTGCCATTGATGAACTTGAATTCATAGGTTCCTGGATCCAATGAAAGAACAACTTCAAATTTGGAACCATCACCGTCAATATCACTCAACTTTGTGACAGTTGGATCCCAATTGTTGAAGCTGCCTGCAATGTGCACACTTGAAGTGGCATTCTGGAGCTTCATCCCTAATCTGAAGCGAACTAATTCAGCACGACGCACTGAAAACGCCCCGCACAGCAATATCACAAAGAGTCGCATGTCTTTGAGTCTTTTATGATTTGGGTCTTTGAGCCAGCTATATGCCTGCATGCCACTCGGCCAAATGCAACAGACCCGGCTGCCTCTTGCAACATCTTGCAACAATTGTGCTTGCACCGTATCCAGTGCTTTTTGTGTGAGTTTGGACGTCTGCAAATGTGAAAGCGAAGTAATAGGGAACGGCGAAAAGAATGGTGAGAGAAACGACCAGCAGAAGACAGATGGGAAGACAACATTTCGAAAGCGTTACAGAAATCTCAGTCTATTCGCCCTCCGCGCACCTCTCCCAGCATCGCTGCTAGGACTGGCGCTATCTTCAGCCGCCGGTGGCGCCGGCCCTGTGTCAAAGACCAAGGAGCCTCACAGGGTCCATTCGTTCCGTCGTTTCTGGAGCAAGGGCGCTACTAGGAACAAAGGGCATATCGCTACTAGGAGCAAAGACGCTACTAGGGGCTCCTGGCCTTACTACTAGGAACAAGAAGCTACTACGAACAAAGGGCGTTCGCAAAACATCGCAGTCTGTCTCAAAACATCCTTGCCTGGCAGGCCGCAATTGGAAGAATTTGAGCAGCTGGCTCGTTGTGGAAGAACAAATGTTGCGAACTTCCCTTCAACGGCATCTCTGGCCTTGCCTGTGCAGCGGTTCAGATCTTCACATATTGTTTCGAATCCACTTCTTGAAGACCAAAAGAATGCACAGGAAGAAGAAACAACCAATGGAAACTTCTCGAAAACGCAAGAGCTTGACTACTACACATCTTGAGAACTGTGAGCTTTGGCAAAACACTCCCAGTCTCTGGGAAACCAGACCACAGTCTGTCGCAATCCACGTTGCTTGTAGCTTCGAGCTGCACGAAGAACAACCTACATGACACCAAAAAAAACACACACATATGTATATATATATATACAAATGAGCCGTGCACCAGCAAAGACCTGCATGGTCCTACCTATGCTTAATTATACTATCTAAAAGAGACTAGAGCGCATAAGTTTTGCACAAATCTACACATCTGGGCGCCTGAAGTTGCCACTCTGGCTGCTCTGTCCGGAACTTGTTCGGAGATAAAGAAGCAGATTGACCTGGAGGGTCTAAAGGGTCCGTGAAGGCATCCATCGACTGAATAGCAGTCTTGGACCCGAACCAGCTGCACCGCAGGCACAGCCGTGGCATGGAGAGAAGGCCTGCAACATACGTGCAAGCTATTGTCTAGTCTGGAGAGTACCTGGCATACTTGCTTTGTCTCTCAGGTGACAGCTGGTTGCAAGAGAGGACGTTAAGCTGCTTCTTGCAATCCTAGATATGAATTCAAGAAACTAAGCGAAATATCGTTTTTGTCTACTTGACGGACTACTTGCTTTTTTTGAAGCTTGATTTAGAACACGGCATCAATGTGTCACTGTTTCTGTCGTTTCCAGCCACTAAGGGAACCTTCTTCGGTCCCACGTCGGCTGCAAGCACCAAGCCCAGAGCAGCATCGACACAGGCTCGTGGACCCCACCTCAAACGGTATAAAAGGTGAGGCGTTTCGAGACCCGCTTTTAGCGTAAAATAGAAAGTGAACCGACCCCTACCTGCCACTCTCAAGAATGTGAGCAAGCTCATTGGTCGTGGATGTCGCCTGAATTACTGTAGCAGCTACTGTCATGTATGCATTTAATTCTAATAGCGAACTTTGTTACTACTAGTAAGGCACCTGTTACTACTAGCGTGGCATTTGTTACTACTTGCGAATTGGCTACTGTCATGTATAGGAAGCTGAGGAATGTCACCTTTGGGGACGCCAGGCTACTCTTGTGCTGCTGAAAGCCGTGGCATCAGCACACGTCCAGCACGCAGAACTACGCCACGAAGCACTTCAGGGTGCCAACCTCTACAATTTGGCGAAGAAGCAGAAACTTCGCTTGAAATACCTAGCTAGATCTTCCAACTATGCTAGACCTTTCTTCCTTTTCGATTTTGCTTGTTTCCAGTAGCCATAGCCTCCAACCCAGTATTTATTCTTTACCAGACTCGCAGACTAAGTCTTGAACCACTAATCTCAAACAAGTCTTTCAGGTCGGAGTTGTTCATGTTGGGCAAAAGCGCCTCGGGCGTCGCGTAAAAGCGGCCCTGTGGCGCTGTCCGCACGCGACAGAAGATGCTCCGACTGAGCTCAGGGGCCGAATAGCGGCAGCCAACCAGGACTTGAATTGCCGATGGCCTCATGTTGTCGCTCGCGTTGTCTCTGTTTCTGCTCTCTGCTCTGTTTCTGTTTCGATGCTGATTGCAGAATGCTTCTCATGAATTCCCCAAAATCATGTTCCGTACTCAGAATCCGTGTACGAATCCATGTATTGAAAGTGTACTCACCATCTTTGCGAACGGGGCACCCGACACACGAACGGGTGCAAGACCCATGCTCCTCAAGGTGCCCGATAGATCTGCGGCAGCCCAAGTCCGTAAGACTTCTGGCCTCAGTTCCGCCATAACTGAATGTCTGCAAACTTAGCGTTTTGCATTGAGAAATATTCAGACTTCGCACAGCTTTGCATCGCTGTTTCTCCAGTAAGGCTGGGTTTGCTGCTCTTCCTGGATGTAAGCAATGATCTCTCGCAAGAGTCCTGTATGATAATGCTGAACCTGGAATGCTCGAGTAGCTGTAGCCGAACGAAATTGACAAGGAAGACCCGATTTGGAATGTACATTATTCATATTGAAAAACTTCCAGTATTCTTTTGAACCTTTCTCTTTTCCTGTCCTAGCAAGTGTTGGTTGACTGTTGCCCGACCGTGTGGTCTCTTGCGTCCTTCCACAACGATGCAAGCCCCTAGCAGCGTCCTTGCTCCTAGTAGCGATCAGGAGCCCCTAGTAGCGTTCTTGTTCCTAGTATGCAAATTTGTACTATGTACTTTCTATTTGTTTGGGTGCCAGAAATCGAAGTTCATCCTGTACCAATATGGTTGTCTGCAGCATTCCCACCTTGGACATTGATGCAGCAAGTCGAGCCACCCCAACCTGAGAGCCAAGCCCGAATGGAGACATCCATTGTGTCTGAACAGCTTCGATTGCTGTCACTACCCCCGAGGATGCTATGAAGCACAGTGTATCTATCTTATTCTATGTTTATGTTTATTAGACTTATCATATTTGATCTGTTTCCCCTGTTCATGTGGAGTCACCCCCTGGGCATCTCACTCCTAGCTCTATGAAGGAGCGCTCCAACAAGAGCCGCAAGAAGAGCGTCTGCAAAGCCACCTGCGTTTTCCAAATGAAAGCAGACAAAACACAGGTGCAGAAGTGACTGCACTGGAGAACGACTGCAATGCTCCGAAGATCTCATTTGTTAGATTTTGTGTCTTGGTGCCAAGTCTTCCCCACTCACCTCATGAACGTTGCCGATGTCCGTGAAGGTTTCTATTACTTGCAATGCCTCAAAGCGCCAGATGCAACATGTCACAAGCTTTTTGATGCTTTTGGGGTGCCCATCTTTGTCCTTTTCAGTGCCCAAGACACCTGTGTGGGGGTCAGCAACTCTGCATGTTCTGCGAATCGTCTTCCCAGTGTGTGGAAGGCTTTCTTCTGCAACTGGCGAGCAAGCGACGCGACGAGCGAGGTCTCATCGACGAGCTCGGCTGGGCGATGTGCCAAACGGCGACGCTCAAACGGATAGATACCATGACTAGTAGCGATGCACTTGCTACTTGTAGTGATGCCCGGGTTCCTAGTAGCTTCCTTGTTCCTAGCAGCGATGCCCTGTGCTCCTAGTAGCTTCTTGCTCCCATGATGTTCCATGACGCAAGACGGAGAAAATCTGGACCTCACCAAGCTTCCATTTCCCGAAGTGCGGCAATAAGCCTGCACAACATCTTTGGATGAAGTAAATGATTGTTCCATGCTGGAGGACCTGTCATCACCTGTCTCTGGAATGCATACAAACCTAGTGCTGGGGGGCATAGGAAAGTGTATGTGTCGTGGCGATCGTCCCGAAATGCCAAGCAGCATTGTAAGTCTGCAGCAGTGAAGGACCACGGGTTGCCTCCAGAGACAGGAAGTGAATATTAATAAACCAGAAATGGAAAAATTGAACAAAAAAGGCTTTTGAAGATGCTTTTTTGCAAGACATTTAGAGAATAATGTTCATTACTCCACCTTGCTACTTTTAGCGGCTCAAGACGTAGGGGTAGTATCCCCCGAAACCCCTTGCAAGTCGATGAGATTTATTTATTGAGATGTGTCCATTTTACAAGACATAATCGTTGCAATCTGAGCACCCAGAAGAGTCAGAACAATCAAGAGGCTTGCCAACTGAAAACAGTGTTAAACGAGAAGCATGAGCAAACAGGAGCTCAAGATAAAAACACCACTTGAATGAAAGTCTGCACGACATGAGATTGCGAAAGCAATGAAAGTCTCTTTGTCCCAGATCATGGCTCTTGTCCAAATCTCTCCCACCTGCCAGCTGGCGTGCAACCTCTTCACTGACTTCAGGCGAATAGAGGCCTTAGAAAGGACGGTGACCTGTACTTTGTGTCCAAAACAGTAAAAGATAAAAGACTTTAAGGAACCTAATAGCGATGGCCTCCAACCTACTAGCAATAGCCTCCAACTACCCTGCAAAATGGAAAAATGAAGGTCTGCGTTCGCTTCTGCCCGTTCCGTATCATTCGTCTGCGTTCGCTTGCGGACTCGCCTGCATCGGCCAGGTGTTTAGCACATTGTGCCAAGCTGGAACCATCCATCTGCTCCCTAGCGTGCGGTCGTTGGCTCGCAAGGGCGGGGCACCGTCGGGGCACCGCTCCCTTTCGATCCTGAGACCCTCGCGCTGCTATCTTAAGCCGCATGAGAAGGAAGCCTCTCCTCAGCACTTCGCAAATCGATGTTCTCTTCCCAAAGTTTGTCTGAAGTGAAGGATCACAGGAAGGCTTCCTGGAAGGTTTGCAGGAAGGCCCAGCAAAGGTTCCCAGAGAATATACAGTTGGAAGCAAATTCATGTAAGTTGCAAGATTCAATGGAGAATCTGGAGCTCAAGCGCTCTAAGCCACAATTCAATCGAAAAAGCTCCTCAAACTATCTCAAAAAGCTCCTCAAAGCCACTGTCACCGTCATGATTAAGTCACTCTTGGCGTGTTGATCATCGCTGAGCATCCGAACACGGAGGGATTGTGAAAGCTGGAGGCACCCAGCAAGGTCAAGGACTGTGTGAACTGAAGCACCTGTGTGGGCTGAGCTTCACAGTGAACCCAGCCATGCCACAAAAAATGCCACGG